TGTGTTTTGGAGATAAATCATTCTTCCTTGCCATTTCATTTTGGTGTGTGTGGGTAAATAGTGGGTGTATGTATCTATGTGTTTTGGAGATAAATCATTCTTCCTTGCCATTTCATTTTGGTGTGTGTGGGTAAATAGTGGGTGTATGTATCTATGTGTTTTGGAGATAAATCATTCTTCCTTGCCATTTCATTTTGGTGTCTTTCTTGTTTACATTTTCCGTGCCAAACGTCATTATGTTTAAGCAAATTCAGTTTCTCTCTTTCTTGCTTGAAGAAGCTACTTATTATGCATACTGTGTCAACATTGCTCTCCTCTGTTCTTCTGTGCATCAATAAGTGGTCAAAGCCCAATTGTTGAGTGGTTATTTCTAGATGTGCATGTGCTTATCTTCTAGACGGTGTGAATATATTGTTACTTGTATACCTTTTTTAACAGCGATATATTTTGCTCTGTTGGTCTGTTTTGCTTATGACACCTTTACTCTGTTTATCTCTTGAAACATATTTGCAGATTACCTGTTTCTTTTCTTTTCTTTTTTTACTTTCTGTTCCAGCTTCTGTCTCAGTTCTTCTGTCTGTCCTTCTGCCTGTTTGTCTGTCTGCCTTGTCTATATGTTTGTCTATCTGTTGATCTGCTTGTCTGTCTGTTTCCTTACTACATTCATCCCATGTCTCTTTTCTTACCCTCCCACTTATTTTAAAATTTTGATATTCACAGCACAGATTTTAGTCCAGTTAGTTGTTATGTATTGTAGAGGTTTTTAATTTTTAGCCGAGGTTTATTTTAAGAAAACGTGATGATAAAGACTAAAAAAACAACAAAAAAAGCAAACGAAAGACCCTTTTCATAAATCTGTTCCCCTGTGTTGTAATTTGCAGCAATGTCAGACGTGATGCTGGAGGTTGTGGTTAACTTGGGACCGGGTAAAGACAGAGTTTCATTTTAGAAATTTGATTTGGAAATCATCCCGAAATTGTTTTTTTTTTAAATGGGAGCTTTGTTTTTGTTGCTGTTTATGATTCAATTGATTCATCATTTTGAAATTTTAGTTTGTTGCTTTTTGTTTGTTTAAACAAGGAGCAGGACAGATGGGGGAAGGGGGGAGTACAGAGTGGGTGGGGCAAGCTTTGGATGCTTCCTTTTATTGTCAATTGCTTTTCTCCTGTTCTTTTAGACATTTTTTTGTTTTTGCTTCTTATGTTGTTGCGACGCCGTAAAACTCTAACTAAACTAACAGGTTGGTTTTTTTTGCTTGTGCAACTATATGCATTTGCGCGGTCTGTTAGCTCAGGTAATATTTTGATGGATTGCGGAGCAGATGGTCTCGTTTGAATCTCAGACTGGGTGTCATTTATTTAACTTTGATCATTGTGTAGAGTTTTCATTCAAGGTCCTCGACCCTAGTGGCTCAGTTGTATCAGAGATGGACGTTAAATTTGGAGGTCCTGCTTCTTATATAACTAAATAATGTTGATAATCGCTGTAAACCCATGCACTTACTACTATATACTTTCACGATTTGCATGTGATTGTCCTGATCATAGGCTCATTTACTGTTCTAGAAAAGAGAGAAAACTGGTGATAAAAAGAATGAACTGAATATTCAAGTGAATTAGTTAAACCAGCTTGTTTTTTTAAATTAATGATATATGTATGTGAGTGTGTGTGCATGTTTGTGTGTGTGTGTTTGTGTGTGTGTGTAAATAGTGTGTGCATGTATGTATGTGTTTTGTGTGTGCGTGCGTGTGTGTGTGTGTGTGTGTGTGTGTGTGTGTGTGTGTGTGTGTGTGTGTGCTAGCTATAGCTCTATTAATAGTACTATTTCTTTCTATGTGATGTTTCTTCCATACAGGGGCCTGTACCCCAGACCCAGAGGCTGACAATTCCAAAGGGAAAACGTCACGACCAGGCAGTGCCGAGAGCAAGAAAGGCATCCTTATCTCCAGCTCCCGACACTCCACCGGCAGTGTCAGTCCGCGACGGTCGCGCAGCAACTCTGGTACTTCTGAATTTTCCATATGTAATAGACAGCGAAAGATCAAGTCAGTATGTTAGTGTTTTAGCGCCTGTGAATGGCCGCTTGCACTGTATGCTTCTCTGGAAGTTGAGATTGTTTCAGAATGCTAACAGGTGTGCCGGGGTAATAGTATAGATTGTGAAGCGCATAGAGCTTGCTGTTGAGTGGGAATTTCTGATATACAAATGCTGTTTATTATTACTATTATTATTATCAATATGTTTGATTCTTTTGTAAAGGTTCACACCCTGCTTAACACAAATCAGTGATTTTTGTGGGCTCGACTCAGTTGACCTAGCTTGTCAAGGTCAGTCCATGTTGTGTAGGATATATCTCCGCAAAGAGACTTATTGAATTTTTGTGATTTAAAAAAAATGTTCACACCGTTTTTTATGTAATAAAGATAATACATGAGCTGGGCTGCTCTGTGTTATGTAGGTTATATCTCAACAGATAGACTTTGAGTCTTTATAATTTTTTTGTAAATGTTCACTCTGCTTGGACCTCTTTTCAGACTGTGAATGGATATATCCCAACAAAAAGATTGTCATATTTGATATGGATATTTTTTATGGTAGGGAAATTTTGGATTTTGCCTAGGTGGTGGCCTGACAGCTTACTCTTCTATGATTTTCAACCACATTTAATGTGCATAAAGCGATAGATCTTACACATCTTAAGATCAAGGATGTGCAGGATGAAAGAAATTGAATGAGTGAGAGAGTGTGAAGACGGGCCCACTGGCGTACAAAAGATGTGGGTCCTTTTTTTTATAAGTAAATTTTACGACACTTGCAACACAATAAGGCCATATGAGTGTTGAAGAATATATGTGTTACAAGAGAATAACATACACAAAAAAGAAGTGAGGAGAGATAAGGACGATAGATGTTTGATAAGAAAGAAGGAGCAAATCACACAGGAGCACCTGCCAACCACCCACAGGTGTGGGTTCTATCTGCATTTGGGAAGGAATTTTTCCGAGTATCTCCGTCTGTCTGCAAGGATACTGCATCCTTTCTTAGCCCTGGTAAACCCAGACAGGCAAGCATCAAGGCAGCCCTCCTCCTTAATGATCTAAATTATGTCAATGGGGGCATAAAATATTTACAACTACTATTATACATAAAACCGGCCCCTTTTACCTTTTAGACTTTAACAAAAGGGTGAGGGTTCAGCTGTGGCTGGATTTAAAAAACCCAACCACAACAACAGCAATGTTTTGGATTTTAACAGTAATTTGGACTTGTCCTCAGTTCACTGGGGAGCTCCGGTGCCCCTCGAAGAGTCGGAGCTAGACCTGGGGGGTAAGGACGAGCTGGACACAAACACTGTGCCCGAGAGCCTGATGGAGGTGGTGGAGGCACAGCAGAGGAATCTGGACCAGTGGTGCTTTGCCGAGCACTTCAAGCCTCACATCCTGGCACAGGTCAGTGCCGACCATGTTCTGAGCCGTTTTCAAAACTGTTTAGCTTGTTTTATTGTGAGCACTTCAAGCCTCACATCCTGGCACAGGTTAATACTGACCATGTTCTGAGTTGTTTTCAAAACTGTTTAGCTTGTTTTATTGTGAGCACTTCAAGCCTCACATCCTGGCACAGGTTAATACTGACCATGTTCTGAGTTGTTTTCAAAACTGTTTAGGTTGTTTTATTGTGAGCACTCCAAGCCTCACATTCTGGCTCAGGTCAGTACTGCCATCAACTGACAAAACGCCTTTTTAAAAATTCACAGCTGTTTTGAGAAAAAATGCATTTTTAATTGTCAGCGTGACCATTAAAGAATAGGCGATCTTCCGAAATTTGAATTCTAATTTATACAGGGTTTTATTTTGACAATATTGTTGTTTTGTTTTGGTTTATTTTTTTACTGTGCAACCCAATATTTCTGTGTGTCCAGATTCTGAACGAAGCATCGTACCACCTCCCATTCGCCGAGACATACCAGCACAAACGTGACGAGACCCTGATGCTGGTGCTGCACAATCCGTACAGCCTGGAGCTGCAGAACCACGTGGACTGGCACAAAGAGCTGCACTCCAACATGGGCTTCAGGTAAGAGGAACAGGAGGAGTGTGCATGCCATGGGAATCTGGGGAGTTGTGCTTTGGGTCAGGGAAACAGGAGAATTGTGCGTGTGTGGGAAATGGAGAACTGTGTTGGGGAAGTGAAAAATTGTGTGGGGGAAACAGGAGAATTGTCCATGGGAAATGGAGAATTGTGTGGGGGGGGGGAAGAGGAAAATTGTGTTGGAGAAACAGAATTGTGTGTGGGGAATTATGCATGGGAAACAGGAGAATTGTGTGTGGGAAATGGAGAATTGTGTGAAAATCTGGGAAATTGGGCATGGGAAACAAGAGACTTGTGGAAAATTGTGCATGGGCCAACAATGATTAGCTGTATTTTTTAATATCTTTTTCCCCAGCCACAATTGAAACTGATATCATTTTTAAAAAATCTAAGGACGATATTGATATTTCCAGAGCAAAATTGGGGGGGTGGGGTGGGGTGGTGAGTTATTTTAGCATTAATAAATATGATATATGATACTAATACCAACAGACGGAGATTATTGGTATGTGTTGTAAGAACAAAGCTGCTTTCTGTGCAGGGAAATTAGATATTGATTTGAGAATTTATTTTTGATCAAATTTTTTTCGGTCCTTCTTTTCTTCAGATGTGACAGTTTTTCTTAATATATAAAACGTTGCACTCCCCTGCTCTGTCAAATAAAAATGTACTAATGGGTGCATGAGTGCGTGTGTGTGTGTATGTGTGTACGTGGTGAAACACCTAACCAATGTGCCAGGATCTGGACAATAAAGATGTATCTTATCTTATCTTATCTTATCTGCAGGAACTATCTCGAATACACTGCAGAATCCATCACGGAGTGGCTGAAAGAGAAAGAGGCAGAGTACCAAGCCTTGATGCTGTCCAAAGAGGTGGAGTCTATCCAAAAAGAGGAGGAGGAGAAGAGTAAAGCCTCGGAGAAGGCTGAAACCAAGGGGAAAAAGTCACCTAGGAAATCACGTAAGATGATCGATTTATCATCGGCTAGCTATTCATACAGGGACAGGGGATCCTAA